ATTGAGACTGTTGATGAGAGAGCTGACTTGGAAGCCACAACAACAATTGTTGGGGAGGTTTTTTTTTTTTTTTTTGCCATGTAAATTGACTAGTTAGGTGATGACTCACAATAAGTTACTATGATGACAATTGACAATGATGGAAATAGAAGAGGACAAAAATTGAACTGCACCAAATTATATAATTGCATTCATAACCAGCTTAAAAGCTGAAGAACTAAATGATTAATTTTTTTAAAAATAACATAAATGAGGTAATTTACGTTAATTTCTTTCTGCTGTAAATGAAGATAAAATTAAAAGTGTAAACTAAAGCCAAAAATGAGAAGAAAAAAAAGTAAAACTTAAAGGTAAAGTCAAGATATTAACTTGAAATATAATGAAAGTTGAATAACTAAGATAACTCAAACATTTATCAAGACACTAAATTGTAGCTAAATAGCATGAAATAGTGAAATTGAGACTTAAAGTAAAGTGAGATCAATGGTATACTTTAGGAAATATAATATCTTTAAAAGCCATGCTCTTTATATATATATATATATATGATCTTTTTTATATAAAAAAAAAATTGAGACGCTAGAGACCTATGAATCCTATCTCTTATAAGCTTTCAGGTCAACACACGTATGCAGAAAGACCTGGACACAAATCGAGCCTCCAGTTATATTTTGTCGGTATTATATGTCTTAATTTTTTTCGTTTTAAAAAACCGTCCTATTAGTATTTGTATGGAAAAAGATACTAAAATACCCTCAAAAAATATTAAATAACAAATGAAGGTAGGTGGATTTTAAAATTTCAAATTAGACCCCATGCATCATTTTGGAATTTTCAAATTTTGTGAAATGACAATACTGTCTTTACTTTCGGTGACTACTTTTATATAGTTATTGACTTATTGACTACTATAGTTTAACTATTGACTACTTTTGTATAACTATTGATTATACAATAGTAGTAAAAATAACTAAACAAAAAGTAGTCACTATATCTCTAACAGCACTTACTACTTTTTTTTTGAATTTTTGAAACAAAAGTAGTTAATAGCAAAACTATAGTAGTCAATAGCTAAATAAGAGTAATCACCAAAATTTTAAAAATAAAAGTAGTCAATTGTAATATTAGAGTAGTCAGTAGCAAAACAATAGTAGTCATCAGAGATTTACAGACAAATGAAGTCAATAGTTAAAAAAATAGTAGTCAATACATAAAAAGGAGTAGTTACCAGAGTTCTGCCCACCGGTCACTGAAGTTCCAGTGACATGTTACCGGAGCTTTGGCAACTGGCCATTTGCAGGGTCGTCGGTGTCAGAGCTCTGACGGTCGGAAGTGCTGAGGTGGCAGCATTTGAAAAAAAGTATAAAAAAAAATAGTAAAGGGTAGTTGTGTAATTTTACAAGATTTGAAAATTCCAAAATGATACCTAGGGTCTAAATTGGGACTTTGAAATTTACCTACCCTCATTTGTCATTTCGTATTTTTGAGGGTATTCTATTATCTTCTTCCCTATTTGTATTCCATGACGCCGGGAAAAAAAAAATAAAGAGAAGTGTATCACTACGATCTGATATGAAAGTAATTAATAGAACAAGCATATAAATGATTTGATTAATTTGATAGTACAACCTACCTTCAGTTCTTAATATAATACATCATTTGACTTTTATTTTGATCTTAAATTTAAGACCTCAAACCACTTTGTCTATCATATTTATTTTTTTCTAAAGCAGTCCTTTCAATAATAGTAGTTCTAGCTAATACACTTGATTAGTAAGAATATTTTAGAAAATATAATACCTAATTATAACAAATAACTAACTTAATTATTTTTTAGTCTACTCAAATTAGTCAACTAGCTCTTATATTTAAACATGAGATAGTAATTGATATACCAGCTTGGGCATAAATAATCGTTCAAAGTTTTTTCCCCAGCTATGATAATAACAACAAAAAAGATAAAACAAATGAATCTTGTGAGGATAATTACGTTATATTGTATCATTAGGAAAATTTGATAAAAAGTATCTATTTAAAGATAATTACACCTGTTAACAAATAAAATTTACAATCAGATACTTTTTACCAATTTTTTTTCTTATTATTATTATATTCCTCAGACATACATGGAACTGACAGAATCTTGAAGGGTGTGTATAGGAAGCAGATATAGCGATCAGCAATCTGCAAAGGTAGGCAATGGGAGTGCCAGAAGTCATTTACTCACTCTCCTCCCTGATTTGATTGATCATTCGATCTCTCCAATCTCCATCTTCTTCTAGGTCAACTTCTATTTCCCCCGCATCACTCCTTTTCCTTTCCTTTGTTTTTCCCCTCTCATCTTTTTAACACTGATCAAATCACACTATCATTTTCAGGCCAAGAAAAAATATATATATATATATATAACTGATTTGATGTTACGTTCCCATATAATGTTACAAGCAGACCCTACGTACTCCTTCCTCCTCTTTCCCGTTATGCGTCTCGATACCGTGAATTCTTTCTTGTATACAAATATAGGCTCCATTTCCACTTACTTCTTCACTAGCCGTTCCTGTTCGCAGAGTCCTGGGCATTTCAGTTATAAAACTAGTAAAAGACGAATATGAAGAGGAAGAAGAAGGTTTCAAAGCATATATTCTCTATTTTCACTCCAGCTTTGAAGCAAATGATATTATTTTAATAAAGCCCAGGGATAACAGGAGGACGCAATAATAATAACTGTATAATAAGTAGGTCAGAACTCAGAAATCGTATTTGTTTCTGTACCTCTGGTTGCAGATCAGATGCTGCTGGGGGTACGAAAATAGATACGTCTGATCATTTATAAACTCAGAAAAAATCCAGAAAACCCACTGCAAGAAAAACCCTCCTCCTCTTTTCTTTTACACACACACGCATCATAAGCCCTAAACAACCCCCGTGATCCTTTTCAATTCAATTCTTTGACCAATAAGAACAAAGTCGGTTCCTTTTTCTGCTATTGTGTTATACCCTTTTGTCACTCTGTAGTCTCACGTACATATGTCTTCACCAAAACCAAACGCCATGCCCATTACCTGCTCAATCATAAATTCCAACAGAAACCTATCTTTCAGACTCGGACACAATACATGTTATATATTTGCATTCATCCCACATATAGTAATGTTTCTTCCTTTTCTTTAATTTCTTTCACTGAAAAAAGTGAGAAAAAAATAATGACATTCTTAATTATTAGATTAAGTACTCATTCTGCTAATTAATATGCGGCTTTCCTTGCTTCTTCATGGGGAATATATAGTTCAGAATAAATGCCTGTGAACCTTTGCGGCACTGGGTCAGTCCATATAATTGAGTTCAAATGATTTAGTTAAGTGCAAAATGTACCTACCCTTTTATCAACTTGCTCTTCCACAGTAGAAAATTGCCTTCTATAGCAGTGCTTGGTCTTATAATTAAGTAACGGGAGCCGTAGAAAAAGAGGATCGGAAATGAGTGTAAAAAGAAGAGGGGAAGAATACTTCATAAAGAGTCTCACTTGTTTGTATCACTCTTTCTATATATAAATGTACGATTGCATGGTTGAACAATATGATTTGATAGATTTGGCGATAACTTTTTGGATGTGACGAGAGTGTAGGGAAAAGCTGCAAAACTATTAACTCAAAGATGATTTGCAGAAGAGAATAGATGGGTTCATAATCAAGTACTGTAAACAAAACCAGAAAATGCATGGCTAAAATCATTAATCAGCTTTTGGGCCAGGGAGAAGAAGCAAAAATAAAAAAAAATAAAAATTCTGATGACTCATGCATCTTCTGATATGCACAGTCACAAATATTAATCTGGTCCCCTCAGTACTCTCTCACAGCTTCAATGGCTGTTGCGAGAACACTATACTGTGGCAATCTTCTCACGCCTCTTCATTGATACGTCTTATTCTTAGCCCGAAGAAGCGTGTTTGAAAATGGATACTACTTAATGAACGACACACATCAACCATAAATTGTCTGTATATTTTTAGTTTCTCTAAATCTTTTGTATGTTATACACCATATGAAAGCTCTTTGCTAGCTTTCTATAATTCAATTAAAATCCTGAGCTTTACTTTAAATGCTCCTGGTTTGGTTACCTTCTTTTGCATTGATACGCTTTCTTCATTGTCATAAAAACTGCAGAGAAATATTTACTCCACTTGAAATGATAATTTAATGTAATGTACCGCACATATCAGTATCACAGTAACACATGATTATTTTTATTATTGTTTTTTAAGCATGCAATGAAAGAACAAAAGCGTTCTTCAATAGAGATTCATAATATAGTTACTTCATTATCCAAGTCTGTCACATCTTGTTCCCATTTCTGATTCTTTTATCCCAGACCAAAACCTCATATCAGATTGCCTTTACGTTCTTCATCTTTATCTCTCTTATCATTCTCGATCCCATTATACTTCAACATGTCCTATACATATAGCCTAAACTCTGCAATATATATATATATATATATATATATGATTATCTAGAATTTAAATACCACCTTCAGTTTTTAATATAAGAGTCAGATAATTAGTTTGAAAATATTAAGAAAATTATAGTTAAGTTGGTTTTGTAACAAATATATATTGGTTTTCTTAGATTACCTTTTTATTTAATCATATGCCTTGAAACTATATGTATAATTAATAGAGATACTTTGAGGAAAAATTATAAATTTGGAAGATAAAGTGTATTGAATTCTTATATTTAAAACCAAATTCAATTCTTAACCAGTTCTTGTATTATTTTAAAGAGTAGAGGCAGTATTACTTTCTAATTCCATGAACACAGTTCAAATGCATTTTAAGGAAAAATATGCCTTCATTCTAACTCAGTCTCCCATTACAGCATCAATCCCTTGAAACCATATAAGATCATGACTAGCGATTTATATGACATAGTGTACTACCATTCTCAAACAAACTACAAAATATCAAGGAACATGCAACTCCATCATTGTACAGAGACGGAAAGTTAGTTCTTCAATGGAAGGAACTCAAAGAACTGGCTTGGAGTCAAGTTGGAATCCATGGCGGAGGACACTGATATCTCTGTCTCTTTCTGGTTAATGTTATTGCAGCCATCTCCTCCACTCCTTAGTGGGAAAAGTTGAAGGGTTTGGGATTCCACATGGTTGTTATGATCATCTTCCCTGAGAATCCCATTACTGTTTGGGTGGATAACACCGTTTTCAGTGTGAGGAGACATGAAAAAGCTGATATTACAATGGTTCTTTACTAGCTTTGGGTCCATTACTGTGGCTGCATTAGTAGCAATAATGCTAGTTGTAGAGGGAGCAGTGGTAGCAGCAGCTGTAGGGGGAGGACAAGAAGATGGCTGTAACATCTGCCACGTGGCATTCCTTTCCATAAAGTTTCTTCTTTGTTGTAATTCTCCTTCATGGAATTGAACCCATCCATCTGTTCTACTCTCTGCAACTGCTGCCGCTGCTGCAGCTGCTTTTGCTGCCCTTTGTATTGAGACAGATTCCTGAAAATTTCAATTGAAGACATGCAAACACATGGGAAACCTCAGCGTGTAATGTTTTGAAAAACCAAAAGGAAAAAAGGCTAAAGGCATTGGAAGGCACAAATTTCAATTGGGCACTCCAAGTTGCTATTCAAATAAAAGTACACATACAGTTGGTCTGTGAGAGAGATTATTTGAGAAGTCAAATTATGGTGCTCAATTCCATAGAATATTATAGGGGTTGCCCCTAGAAACAAAGAAAGTTAAAAACGGACCTAAATGACATGAATAAGCAAAAGCACAAGCCCCAAAACCACAGGCTAAGTTTTTCATAACAGCAGCCCCGACAGAAAGGAAGGAATGCAGCCTTTTAGGCCCTTTTCATTTCCCAACAAACAAAGCTTTTGTTGGGAGGGTCCTTTTTCCCTAGCTAGACCTGTGCTGTGCTGCATATCTTTTCTATAATATTCCAGCAATCAAGTCGTTTATGCCTAGTAATCATATGCAAATAATCACTGCTTAATGGGATCTTATGAACTTTTTGGGATTAAAAAGGGGTTTTCATGTTGACAAATGAAAAGACAAAGGTTTTGTTCTCTATGTCTATGACTAATGGACAAAGACAAGAGATGATAAAAAATGGACCTCTGCAAGAGGAACACTGCAGTTTGTAGAGGGTGCCCAGTTGTTCCTGCTAGTCTGTTCAACTTCAAACGCTGTCCTACTCGCGCCTGTAGACAAAAAGAAACAAAAAGAATGCAACTTTAGATCTTCAAGCAACAATTGGCATGAAAACAAATGGGAAAAGAACAATAAAAAGCAACACATTATACAGATCTCTAAAATACAAAAAATGCCATTGTCGAAGCCATGCGTAGTAAGATAAAGCATCAGAAACCTCTCTTTTCTTTCCCGCTTTCTTTCTCTTCTTTTGCGTCTTTTTGAATCAATTGACAATCAAAGGCTAATGTAGGTTTTACCTAAGTCTTTCTTTTCAAGAGCATCAAGATCGTAGGGGTGTCCCTCTACTGCAGCTGATTCCACTTGACGGCGTCGTTTCTGCCTCTCTCTGGCTTTGTGATTCTGAAACCAATAGAACACATTCTTCCCTTCAATTTTCCCAAACCTCCGAAGCTGTGCTGTGATATGCTGAATTTGTTCTGCTGATGGCGTTCTCGTCCCTCTCCGATACAACTCTTCAAGAGCTCTCAGCTGCTCTGGGGTAGGATTCCACCTTGTGCTCACCACAACTGGTGGAGTATTGTTGAACTCTCTCTTGCCTTGATCTGCCACTGATGCTAACAAAAACAGCAACTTTTTTACTTAGTAGATATATCAAGAGATGAAGACGACGAAGAATTGAAGGAAAGAGTGATATAATGACGAAAAAAAGGTTAAAAATGAGCCTACCCAGATTGTGACACTGTGTGAAGAAATCAGTAGCATGATGTGCTATAGGTGAAGCCAGTGGCCTTGGAACTAAAGGCCTAAGCTTCCGTCCATTGAATGCATGATCAGGCATGTTGAAGTCACTCCCTTCATTATATCCCACCATCCACATCTTGACAGCCAATGACGCTATAAAAATAAAGCTAGGGTTTTGTTGATGATCAAAGAAGCTGCTATATTATAAAGGAAAGCTAATATGCATGGATGATACTAATGAAAGGAGATTGTTTGTGAAGTGGGAATGGATCCAGCAGATTCCTAGTTTCTGATGTTCCCTTCCCTTGTTAGGGTTAATGGGGAAAGGAAATGGAGGGAGCACAGAAGAAGAGAATAAGGGTGAAGGAGTTGAAAAAGATGGAGGCATGCAAGGTTTTGTAATGTGAAGGGGTAGCTCAAGAAAAGGTAACCCCTAGTTGGTTGAATGAAAAAGTAGACAAGGTTTATATATAGCAAAAATTGATGCTAATAAAGAAGACCCATTGTTGAAAAACGAGTCTGTTGAGCTGAAATTGTGAGGTATTTTGTGTCCCAGACATTCAGAGATGGGGATTGATCACTTTAGAATATGGGAGAGGGAGAGAGAGAGAATGAAATGGTGCTGGTTTAATATGGGACAAAGTGAAACGGACTTGAGGTTGACTAGCCCAGTTAGAGAGAGAGAGAGACAAAAGAGAAAAGCATATAGGGGAGAGAGAGAGAGAGGAAGCGTGGAATTCTGGGAGATTTTTGGGAGTAGGGAAATGAAAAACGACGTGACGATGATGAGGCTTATCATGAGGCTCATCACATCCCTCTCTCCCATTTATTGGTCTCCTCACGTCTCGTGCCTTTCACACTAATTCTCAATCCGAACTGCCCCTCTCTCCCCACACCCTCCTGCTCCCTCATTACCCTTTTCTTTGTCCCTTATACTGTCCTTCCTTACATTCTCCCTCCTCTTTCTGCACATCTCTTCTCTATCTACTCTCTCTCTCTCTTTTCCATTCCCCCCTCCCTCCCCAATCAAAATTCATACATCTCTAACAAAAATAATATATATAGATTAGTAGAAACACTTGCTACTCCTTGGTTTTTAACATGCGTTAAGTTTGTATCAGTAGTTTGACTAACGGCTGTAATTTAGTGATATGAAAGTTCTCTATAAGTGAAATGCACGGATTCAATCCCATGCACTTGTAATATCAGATCATTAAGATATGCCATTCTAATCCCACTTATAAAGCTGTTATCCGACTTGATTTGGATTAGTTCAGTTAAAATAGGGTAAGTTCAGGATAACGGACCTATATGCAAAATACAAACTAGTTATTTAAGCATGTGTATAAGGGTATGATGTATTAATTAGTCTGTATAGGTCTGTTTACACGTACAGAAAAAGAATCAGAATGCAACTATATAGAAAAAGTTGGGGGGATACCTTGTTTTAATCTGGTATGGACCATGAGGAGCAGGACCACATGGAGAAGAATATAAAGTCTAGGGTTGTCTGTGACTGTGCATCTCAGTATTACTGTGGTTACTGCTTTGCCTCATAGATATAACCCTTTGGTCATTATGATGAAATGGAATGACTCAATTCTCGAGCTGATGGCTAGCTAGAACTGTCATACAGAGAATTTGAAAGCCATAATTGTTTAATTATATATATGTTTAGCTTTTTGGACGGAAGGGGGAGGGCCTACTTTGCTTCTCCTGCAAAATTCTCAGTTCTGATCCTACTGTTTTGTATGTTTGTTATTTATTGTCATTTGCATGCAAATATATTATATGTAATGGGAGAGAACAGTAACATGCAAATTTCATGTTACTATATATATTATACTGTGTATTTCACCCTTTGCCATTACTGTTACTTTATTGCCCATCAAAGTTCAAAAATCAAAACCCCTGTGTTATAATCTCTCTTGTCGTTTCTTTGGGTTCGCAAACCCAGGACCATATATGTAAAATCTGCTACCATATAATTAATTAAAATGCAGAAAATTAAAGCCTATCGCGACGGTTGAGATATATACTTTTTTCTGGTTCCCCTGAAATTTGAATTTAAGGTTTGTGCTCAGCTGTTTACTTCTTCCTTGAAATTTGGTGGTAATTTAAATAGTTCATGCCATGGAATTAAAGCAAGGGTACGTATACTTCAATGGTGGGTTTTAGGAGGCCAGAAAGCCATATTAGCCAGTGTACAATATGATGCTTAATTGAACACATGTATTGAAAAGACTTCAATTTCACCACCATTCCCTACTTATACTGACACATTAGGTGTTCATAACTTAACCATTAGATTAAATTTTAACAGTTGAAATAATCATTATCCATCGTTGGCATCAATTATCATCAAACTTTGACTTGAAATTAAATTGCCCAAATTATAGATTACAACAAATTTAAACCGATTCAACTCTTAATTAATCTAGCCCTAATAACTCATTAGTATAAAATGTGTTATTAATTATTATATGTGTGAGTATGTCAAAAGTAAATTAAAAATCCGACATAGCTTGATGTATTCTCTACTTGACAATCTTATCCATATAACACAGTCTTTACTTAGTAATCTTATCACTTCATTAATTGATTCCTTGATCATTCTTATCATACTATTTCTTCTTTCACAGGCCATTGTTGATACATCTCCTACTTGGAAATCTTATTACTTCGTTAATTACTTTCTTATCCTAACATGAATCCATGGCATATAAAAGCGACTCTAGGCTTAATTAAGTTTATAACACCCCCACCTTTAAATTTTCTTAACTATTCTTTCCTCCCTTTGTTGTTTTGTCATATTATCTTGTTGAAGGAAGGGTTCATTTAATCTTGAGAATTGCTGTTGTTTTGTTCTAACCTTGTGTGGCAAAACAATATTTAAGGACAATATCTTTAGACATGACTTAAACCATATTTTTATTGTTCTTTTTGACAGGTGTTTCCAACAAAATGGTCAATGTAACGTCATTATAATCAGAAATTTTCTTCTCAAAATCCCAAAAACAAGCTACACTTACTCACTAGCTAGTGAGTTTAGGTATTCTGGTTGTCTCCAACGTTAACGCGTGTGTTGTTCAGAATAGTACATCGCGATGGACGTGGGTTCACCTTGGCATCATCATGGTCCCAATCGTCAGAGTTTTCCTCATCAACGGTTCATGTTAATAGCAAATATCTTCTTTGCTTTGTTGTGAGCTCATGTGTTTTTAAGAAAGAGAACGTTGTTCTAACAAATTATAAGGAAGCTGTTCTGGCATAGCTATATATGTCCACTATTGTAAGGATCAATGCAACATCGATTTTGTTATTTTCTATATATTATTTTTGTGAAATATAAATTCCTTTTTCATAGTTTCATATGGATTGATTCCTGCAAAAAATGAGAGAAGGAATCAACTCAATCATACCCTTAAAATTTCGATTTTATTTGAAATAAATGTTATTATTTTAGGATTTTAATGAAATATTCTTTATTTTTATATAATTAGATCCAGTTTCAACTTCTAATTTAATGAGGAAATAAAAATACTGCAGAGATAATTAGTTTTTTTATTTTTAAAAACGGTAGTTAGAGAACTAACACGAGAATAACAAATAAATGTATTTTAGTCATATATAATCAAATTTTATAATAATTTTAAATCTTTAATGACTTTTTTAATTTTGTAATATCTTAAGTTGATACTACCTCCGGCCATTAATATAAGAGTTAGTTTGATATTTAATTTTCTCCTAAATATAAGGTTCCAATCCATTTTGTCTCTCATATTCATCCATTTTCTCCAAAACAATTCTTATAATAGTTGTATATATCAAATACTTTATCAAATTATAGTTTTAGCTAATACGTACATTATTAAGAAGGTTATTCTAGAAAAGATAATACCTACTGCCTCCGATCCTAATTATAAGAGCCAGTTGACTAATTTGAGGAGATTAAGGAAGTAAGTTGAGTTAGCTATTTGTCTTAAATAGGTGTTGTTTTTCTAAAATATTCTTGCTAATCAAATGTATTGACTAGTACTATCATTATTAGAAGGGCTAATTTGAAAAAAAAATATAAATATGAGAAACAAAGTGGATTGGAGTCTTATATTTAGGATTAAAATAAAAATCAAATAGGGTCTTATATTAATGACTGGAGGTAGTATTTATTACAAATAACTAACTTAACAAACTTTTTAAAACTATTTAAATTAGTTAACTAACTCTTATATCAACAACTGGTCATATTTTAAACTAGAGAAAATGTCTAAGATACCGTTAATGGGAGCATCAAAATAAGTGTTTCTTTTTTTTGGGGTCTGAAACATCAAAATAAGCTTTTTTTTATTGCCAACCAAAAACACCACATGGAACTAGCCCATTTGTCAATTGGCGTTATTCTGGAATTGTCCACGCAGGCTAGTCGTTATCGAAGGACAGATTAATTGGGCTTGGCCCAATAAATTCACTTTTAATAATTTTAACGCCGGAGGAGAAGAAAGAGAAACCAAGGGGAATTTTGCAACCAAGGGCTCAGATTAAATGACAAGATGGGACGGCCCAGATTTTGTTTTAAAAATCAAAACGGCGTGCTGAGGCAACGGAAGGAATGATCAGTCGCGTGGCTCTGTGTTGTGACCCTGCTCGAAAAAACTCGTTGTCTCCTCGTGCTGCCTCGACCCGAACACTTTGATTGTCATCTAATTGTCATCTATGTGCAGAATATATCGATTCCTCAAAAAGTTCATTCCGTCTACGTCCACTCTTGGCATTGTTCAGCCCATTCTCTATCGTAAGCCATTTGTCAAAGGTATACATTCTCTTGATCAGTACAGACACAACAGACCCATTAATCCATTTGCCAGGAAAAATTCCAACTCAAGAAAACCGGTTAAGAAGGAGGTCACTGATTTGAAAGTGTATACGAGGAATATTATTTGGAAAATATACAGAATTCTAAAGTATTCGACTTGGGATTCTGCTCGAGAAGAGCTGGAGAGGCTTCCCATAAGATGGGATTCTTTCACAGTCAACCAAATCCTGAAAACCCACCCACCTATGGAGAAAGCTTGGTTGTTTTTTAACTGGGCTTCTCGGCTAAGAGGATTTAAGCATGACCAGTATACTTACACAACAATGTTGGATATTTTTGGAGAAGCTGGGAGAATTTCGTCCATGAAACATGTTTTCCAGCAGATGCAAGAGAAGGGGATAAAGATTGATTCTGTTACTTATACGTCGCTTATGCATTGGCTATCAAATTCAGGAAATATTGATGAGGCAATCAAAGTTTGGGAAGAAATGAAATCTCGGGGCTGTTGCCCTACTGTTGTTTCTTATACTGCATACATGAAGATTCTATTCAATCATGACAGAGTAAAAGAGGCTACTGATGTCTTCAAGGAGATGCTTCAGTCTGAATGTCCTCCAAATTGTTACACTTACACAATCTTGATGGAGCATCTCATTAAGTCAGGTTAGTGTGTCTAATGCCTTCTAGCTGTTTGTTATATGGTCTGTATAAGTGGGCATTCGGTTGCTTTTCCCTGCTAATTAAGGAATTTTTAATTAATATGGTAAAAAGTCGGTGTCTCTCCTGGAGTTGAGGTTCCAAATAATTGACATGGATAAAGCCATTAAGGTTTGCCATAAGTTATTATCGGTTACTTTTAACTTTGGCTACCATTATTTCATCCCTGAACGAAGTCGAACCAAATCTGTACTTGTCATGCTATTTTTGTTCGGATTTCAATCAAAGGATTAGCTTGATTTTGGAAAGCTGAATCTGTGTCTGAAAAACTTTTAAAATAATTTATATACTATGTCTAAGTCATTTACGATGTGTAGACTTAAATAGTTCAACAGATCTTGATTGCTTCTATGTTAAACAGTTCTCTTGCCAAGAAAATTGGAGATCTCTAATTCCTGAGTTTTGTTGGCCACAGAGTCCCCCCCTCGCCGGCCAAAAAAAAAAAAAAGACTGTGATGGTCGAATTGAGGATAATTACTCTTATTTTTCTTTTTTTCAGAAAAATGTGATGAAGCCCTTGAGATTTTTGAGCAGATGCAAGAGGCAGGGGTGCAGCCTGATAAAGCTGCGTGCAATATATTGATTGAGAACTGTTCAAAAGTTGGCGGGTCTATAGCCATAAACCGAATCCTTCATTATATGAAGGAAAACCGTCTTGTCCTTCGTCACCCTGTTTTTGTGGAAGCACTGGAGGCTTTGAGACTTGGTGGTGAGAGTGATGCCCTTCTCAGGCAAGTTCATCCTCACTTTTATGTTGACTGTAACTTCAGGAAGGAAGCAAATGACTGCACAAAAGCAGCCGCAGATTCTTCATTTGATATTGATGAGAGGCTTCTGCTTGATTTATTGAGAAAGGGAAATCTGCTTGCTATTGACCAAATACTCTCAGGGATAGCAGATAGAAAAATACCTTTAAATCATGAGATTTTATCAACCATCATTGATGTAAACTGTAGTCAGTGCAGGCCTGAGGGGGCTTTATTGGCTTTTGAGTACAGCGTGAAAATGGGCATAAGTATGGAAAGGACTAAATATCTTGCCTTGATAGGCTTGATGGTCAGATCAAATTTGTTTTCAAGAATCCTGGAAGTTGTTGAGGTAATGTCTAAAGCTGGGCATTCTCTTGAAATCTATTTAGCTTCTCTCATAATTTATAGGCTTGGTCGTGCTAGGCAGCCCACATTTGCTGCAAAGATCTTCAACATATTACCAGATAACCATAAGTGTACTGCCACCTATACTGCCTTAATTAGTGCTTACTTCTCAGCTGGAAGGGTTAATAAGGCTCTTGGGATTTATAAAATCATGCGTGAAGAAGGAGTTTCTCCTGCATTAGGCACCTATAATGTGCTACTTGGAGGCTTGGAAAGAAAAGGTAAATCTTCTGAAGCAGATTTCTTTAGGAAGGAAAGGAAGAGACTACTTGCTAAGCATGATTCTCAGGGAAGTGTTTGTGCGAAGATATGTAACCTTTTGTTTGCTGGGGATATATGTTGATGCACCAAGAGTTCTCAATGTGAATCAAGTTGAGGGATATAATTACTAGCTAGTGGAAATATGCCGGTCAAGCCGCCTTAGAGTTGCCGCTTTCGTTTCAAAGAAAATGAAATATTCTGCTCTATCAAGTTCTTTTACAGATGATGTCAAGGCTTAACTGCCACATGTATGGATCTGCAACATTAAGTAGCAAGTGCTTGGAAAATGGAATAGAAAAGATGAACATGAGCATCGTCTTCCAGAAATCAACTATATGTAGCGTAAAACAACAAATATTGTGGCAGATGTGCACATCGTAAGAGTCCCCCGAATTGATATTTAAGAGGGGTGATTACTTCTGGCGCAATTTTTATGTTTCTTCAATGTAAGAATCATGGGAATAGAAGCAAGGGTCTTTCTTGTTTAATTTAAATTTAAAAAGCTTTCAGTTATGCATACTGAGGCAATGATTCCCCTCATAAGAAAAATGAGAATCAGCAGACGGCAGAAGCTGCATGAAATGACTACTTGAGGCCTTGTAAAATGTAAAATGATACAAAAAAGGTTTTCACCCCCAAACAAAAAATGATACATAAAGGTGAGATATTTAAGTTCCCATTTAAGTGGCGCTTCTGTTGAGGCTGAAAAGGCAAGGAGATTCTTGTTTCTTGTGAGGAGATTTTAGAAGCATTTTGAAGCAGTTAAAATGTTTTATTCTGAAACTAATAGGGTTGGGTTCAGTAGGATGAGCTAATCTATATATTTTTGGGCTCATAATGGGTCAGCCCATAGATATTTGAGCATTGGGCTGCGTCCATGCCCAAACTCTAACGAAACCTGTTTGGTTGAGATTCTGACGGGTGAAGTGGAGGTTTGGAGCGCAAACACAAACCCCAATGGCTCGTGGAGATTTTGTAAAGAGAAGGCTGTAATTTCATGCTGGACCAGATTGTTCATTAATGAAAGACAGCACGCCAACTGTACTAACTGTCATCATTAGTCATGCTCCTCTATCTTTCTTTATATCTATTGAGCCACTTCTCTTTCTCTCTCTAAATACAATACACCATTGGGCATCGATTATGGATGCTTTTTTAAGTGGAGATTCAAACTTTAATTTATCACATAAAAAACTAATTTTTTTCCCACTAAAACCCAGTCCTTATTGGTTATCGTGTCACCTCTTTATTTCATGTATTCATTTAGTAAAAATAATAAGCGGCCCAATCTCTATTTGCTACCACATTACACCGTAATTATTATATTTAACTTATTTTTAAATTTGTTAACTTTTACAATAAGCTAAATCTTGTTCATTATAATTGTTTGAATATTGGTTATAAATGCAAAGATCATAAAGTACCTGATCACCCAACATCTCAACATTCCATGATAATTAAAAGAGAGAATTGCTGTGGGCAACTAATTCCAGAGGAGAAGAGAGTCGAGTTCTTTGGGCAAGATTGGACGGACTGGACACAGAAGAACCTGACAAGAAGAGAGAAGATTAGTGAGAAATTGCTGTGGGCAGACTTGTACGCAGTAGGGTGCTGGCATATCTGGAAATGGAGGAACCTATGGTTGCATAACAAACTTTGAGCTACCAAGATCTCCAGAAGGCGAGATTCGGAAATACATGGAGAATTATCACCATAAATGGGAGGAGGGTCTGTGGGACTCGAAAGAAAAGGTTTCTGTTTTGGTGAAGTGGCAACGACCAGGAAAGGGTGGTGCAAACTGAACACGGATGGCACAGGGACATTTGGAAGCAATGAATGGATGTGGAGGAGTGATAAGAGGGGATTGCGGAGAATGGATAGGAGGATTTTCAATGAAAATTGAAGGGTGTAGCATTATTGAAGCAGAAACGAGGAGTATTCTGGAAGGGATAGAGATGTGCTGGAAGATGGGGTTCCGGAAAATTGAGATTGAGTGTGATTCGAGACAGATTGTGGAAGCAATTAACAATGAAGCTACCATATTCGGAAACTACAACACCTTTGCTAAGATACAGGAATGGAGAAGGAAAGAGTGGAATATCACAATTAATCATGTCTACAGAGAAAGCAACCGATGTGCAGATAGATTGGCTTACCTAAGCCTGGAACAGCAAAGCAGAGTCGTCTACTGGCAAGCCCCTCCCAACGAACTTCTTCCGCTGCTTCACGAAGACCTTAAGGGTGTTGGAATGCTGCGAAGTGTGTGTAGTTAATTCGGTGTTCGCTCGTTGTTCACCAAAAAAAAAAAAAAAAGAGAGAATTGCTATGAAATTCCAAATAAGGATATAATTACAAAAAAATTCAATGACAGCAAAATATGAAAGTAGTCTGTAATAATAAATTTCAGAATAATAAATGAAAATTGCTCATTTATTATTGAAACTTATTGATTTTTTTTTTTGAGTCCGTATTGTAATTTTTTCTTAATCAAAATCATAATATATATTTTACTCAACGCACATATATGGGTTTATTCTTTGAAAGAATGATTGCTAAGATCCTCCTCAGCCTACAGATCCTATCTGGAAACCTATAACTCTAATCACTTACTGTTTCTCGGTCATGCGTTGAATATTCCATTCCAAACTTGATGAATATTTTGAAGGTTTCGAAGGAGCAGGTACAATACAAGTGCCTTGTAAATTAACTTTTTTTTTTAAAAAAAGAATTTGTTTAGTTTATGTGATTATTTAGTCTAGTTATTACCATGAGAGTTTAATTTAGGTATGGCATAATTGTGATTAGAAAGAAATGATGCATTCTAACAGTTATGGACTTTTTAAAGGATTGATTACAAAAATAAGAAATTTCCTGTTTAAATTGTGTACACAAACAAACCACCGTTGGGTTCAAATTTGAGATCTCATTTAAATGAGTTGCTCAAACAAGTTATAAATATTCTTGAACTATAGAGAATTTGTGAAGACCAAATTATAACTTTAAAATATGAATTCATATAAATCATAATAATTATAAAAACATTAATGATAAATATGAATTCATAAAATCAAACATGCTAGGGCTTATAAAGACACCATGATTGTACTGGTCATTTTTGCCCTTAACACTCCTGCATGTTGCGTGCCGATTTATTTCTAATGCATATAATTTTTTTTTGAAATTTTAATGTTTTAAGAAAATATCAAAATGGAACTATAAAAAAATTACCATAATAATCTAAATTAAAATTAATAATGGAGAGGCGTTTGAATTTGTGGCATGCCTAAAAAGGATCTATCATGGGGTTCCATCAAAAAAGTGGGAGATGCTATATCAAGTAAAAGTAGGAGAGAGAGACATGCAAAAAATGTTTATATTTATGAACAAAAAGACAGGAGATGATGGGATTCCATATATATTTTTTTTTTTAAAATGAGCAATTTATTTGACTCACAAGTTGTCTTCGGTTCAATCATATTGAACCTTCAAATAATTAGGGTCAATTGGTTCGTGAACCTTATTATTGAACTTCTTGATTGGGAAAATCAGTATTAGTTTGCGTAAAGCTTTTGCATATGCTTGAGATTGTATTAATTAAGTAAATATATTTAATGCCATTTATTAATTAATTAAAGCCATTCATGACCTCACGTTTGACTTTGTTTTTTTAATCTGCAATGAAGGAAAAAACAATATATAAAATCCGGGTAAAAAAGAAAAGGGTCCCCATTTTCAACACATGGGCTTTCCTGCATGTTTTTTTTAGAAGATTAAATTTAATTACTGAATGGCACTTTGAAATTGAAGAACATAATTTTTTTTTTTGATAGGATCAACTACAAACATGAGACATTTTACACTGCCACTAATAAGCACCGACAACCCAATATTCCAAAAAGAAAAAAGAAAGAAAATTAAAAAGAAATTAAAGATGCATGTTGGTAATTTCTGTTCTTAGCTAGCTCCTAATCCATCTGGCTTTTTCCTATCAGAATGATCTTACTTTCCTTCTCAAAAATTCTTCTAATGCTAAGCCTGAATTTGCTGTCATAATCATATCGGATGGATCTCAAAATACAAACCCTAAATAAAATTTCAGTTTTCAATGTTCATAGGCCCAGCAAGATGTAGTAGACCAGTGTGATTGGCAATGCCACCAACATCCCAAAAATCACCCTGCATTGATTCCAAGCTTCATTGTCAAGTTCAAGAAAATAAAATAAAAATAATAATTATAATTGGAAAAATAAATCAATCAAACATATTTTTTTTAACAAAAGAAGGGGACTTACGCTGTGCTGAGAATGTCAGGATGGACATTGTATTCCTTAGCGAAGACGAAGGGCACTATTCCTTGTGGCAAAGCTGCCTGTTTTGAAATATAACATAGATTTTGTGACTTGCATATTCCAAAAGAAGTGATTAAGTAAGGTGTCGGAGATCAGAAATTTTATAAAACAAGAAACAGAACATTATTACCGCCGCATCCTAAAGGGAGAACAGAGCATGAAGGGATCAGAAAACTTAAAAACAGAGTATCTATCCACCTTTAATTGATTAATCTATAAGAGCAGTGTAAAAAGCTTACCACTAGTAGTACATTTTTACTAATAACTTAGTGGGATATATAAATATATTTATATATATATGTATAATGAGAATTGAGGGTAAAGAGAAAAAGAGACCTGAACAATGGCGACGCGTAAGAGAACACCTCTGAGGCCAACAAGAATGGAGGCAGCGGCCATGACAGCTGGACCTGTAAGGAATCTCACGGCCATTGCAAAAGCTGCTATTGAATTCCCACATGCTATCATCCTTGGTTGTAAGGCCATGAACAATCCTGTTTCAATTTCATTCATTCTCATCAATACTCTCTCTCTTACTCTGTCAGACTCTCTCTCTCTTCTTTTTTCTTCTTTCATCATCACTCCCACCACCAACCCACCTCACGCAAATAAACACACTAATAAAGGACTCATGAAAACAGAACATTATCATATCACTGCACTTCTGTGTTTGTATGATTATTATTATAATAATCAGAAGTTAAAAAACATGGGGTTCAGTAAAGTTTCTGCCTTTTTCGTTTTGAAAGGACATAATGATCAGAATCAGACACAATTCACAGTTTTGAAAGAGATTTCGTGAGGCAAGGAGGATGTTTTATACTGACCCAGACTGAACATGGCCATGCCGAGTCCTGCATCTGACAGTATTGCTATAGACTTGGCTATTATCGCTGGCATTTCAACATTCCACCTGAATAATCCCACCAACCCAAATAAAAAACATCAATCAGAATTTAAATCCCATCAACAAGCAACGTAAGTTAAGAAGTGTGTGAGAATGAATATGCCAGAGCCCAGAGATTTTTTCTCTCAGAAAACGGGCAAAATCAGAAACTGTGTACGTACTTGAATGAAACAAGGGACCAAGCAAGACCCAACAGGCTAGAGTAGGTGTTGGGGTTTCTTATAAGTTTTCTCCAAACCATAATCAAAATCAGCCTGGTCATCACGCTCGCTGATGGCATTGTTCTTGGCTTTCCCTCTCCAACTTTCTCACCGTTCTGGTTATTCATATTATCCCTCTCTGCTGTTCCTCCGTTTCCAAAGCTGAATTCGTCCTTTGCTAGGAGCTCCTCTTGGTTGTCTCTATGACCCTCCACTGAAAGAAATTATTAATCATACGTTAAGATTAAGATTTATTGTGAAAAAAGTAATGAATAAATTGAGGAAGAAAGAAAGGACCAACCTTTTCCTGGAGAAACAGTTAATCTGAGTTCCTTTTGATCATGAGCTCCATATTCATGGCCTCCACCAAACACATCAGAAACAGGGGAAGCATTCGCACTCCAAACAAACATATGAAGATCCTTCTCTCTTTCGTTACCGTTAGGCCTCTTGGCATTAGCTCCAACGTTTTTGGACCCAGTTGGGGAAAACATTCCTGGGTTGGGTGCTGGGTAATGTCCTGTTCCACCATGATGAAACCTTGCCTTCCCATCTTCCTCGTAATTGGATGGCCTTGGTGTCGGTCCTCTTGACGTGGAAAAACCAAAAACATCAGAAGCTCCGAAGTTGGAATTTCTCCCACCAGCCATCATGGAATAGAAATCAGTGTGGTTAAAACTCGACCCTCTTGGAGTTGGGTTTCGAGAAGACTGCAAAGAGTAAATCTCTGCGTTTGTGAGATTGGACGGACGTGGGGTTGTGGAGGCAAACCCCTGAGACCTTCTTGAGAAAATGTCTGATCTTGAAGCATTTGATTTTCTCACGGTAACATGAAGCTTCCCGTCTTTGATTTCAGCTTCGGTTTCTAATGGCTGCCTCCCATCCAACGAAACTACATCAGAGTCCACATGAATGGACACGATTGAGCCTGCAGTTTCTGGAAACTGCTCTGAGATGAGCAATCTTGCTCCTCTATACTCAAACAAGAACAGCATCAAAGTGTACCAAATGATGCACTGAAGGACAACAATTTGTACCATTAAACTTCCCGAGAACTCCCCGTACATCCCTTTAAGCAGAGGAATGCCCATAACAAGAGTGTTTGGGAGGGTAGAAAGTGAGAACAGAGTGATTGTCCATTCCAAGCAACCCCTTTTACTCACGTAGGTCCATACAGCGAGAACAATCAGGATGATAATCTTTTGAAGGGTATCAGCAGCGAGGAACCTAAGGTTCATTTCATAAGGATTGTTTGAAGCAATGAAGTGGAAAGAAAGCAGAGGAACTGCAAATAGAGCCACGAATCTGTTGATGCCAGAGCATTGATCCGGCGAGAAGATCTTCCACCATTTCACAGAGCCATATGCTGCAACCATAGCCACGTACAGTGGCACCATCGCAGTCATAACATGGTAGAAGTCTAATAACGTGATCATGCTTGATGCCTGTAAATTCTCAGAATCAAGATCAGAATGAAGAAGAAGAAGAAGAAGAAGACAGGGAGTGGCAGAGGAAAGTTGAGGAAGAAAAAGAAGGTTGAAGCAGCGTTGATGGTGGTGGTGATGATGGGAGAAGCATGTGTTAAGAACTTGTGGGTAATATACCGAAAGAGAAAGAGCAATATATACATATATATATTGAAGCTCGGAAAGTAGCGAGCAAGCTTGCAGTCTCCGAGGCACGCAGAGAAGGGAGAGGCGGGTTTGCTTTTTTATTTGGGACTTTTTTGTTTTTTGGCTTCTTGGTCCGAGATGGTGGTTGGATTTGGATTGGAGGTGATAATGGAATATTTGATAGATAAACTTGGAAGCTTGGGTGGCTCAATCTTCTAAGGATCTATGTAACTTATTTTTTAATGTAAGCTGCTTATTTATCATTCACCAAGGGAAAAAAACATAGACACAGCAAAGAAAAAGAAAAGTAGAAAACCAAATTTTTCATCTTTCATTAAAGATTTTATTAATTTAATTCATAAAAGAAAAAAGGAAAGAAAAGTGGGGAAAAAGGCAATTTGGTTTGGAGGTGGTGGGTTATACTTATGTCTACCAGAACTTGTATTTTCAGAGCACATGGTAATAAAAAAAATTAAAGCCTTTACTTATTGACACTTCCCATATATCTTTTTCTCTTTGGATTTGTTGATGCTTATAAAATGTTAGTTATAAAATGAATTACAATCTCGTGACAATATCTTAGAGAATGGAAAAGGTCAAAAGCAGGAGAACAAATGAAAATGAAAATCCAACTTGAGTGGGCGAAAAATCCATTCTTGAGAGTCATAAAGAATAAGAGTATTTTAACGTCACGTGCCTCTCAATTGTCGGTTTCCCAAATATATCTAACAACCTTGCCACTTCCAAGAGCTTAGGGTTCATTTTGTTAGGTGACTTTGAGTTATTTCAGATACTCCATTCCTCATTGTCCCCCTCAATTACATACCAATTCCCTATGGCTTCTCACATTCTTTCTTCTTCTTCTTTTTTTCCGGTAATAAAAAGTTTAAGTGTGTTGATTTGGGATTTATTAGGATTAATGTATGCTTTCAAGCTTAGAGAACGCTTACAGAAGTACTTACAAATCACTCAACAACAAGATCTTCACATTGACAGCAGAATTCATACTCATGACTTTGTAAATTATGAGCAAAAGCCTTACAAACTGGATCAAATTTTGTTGGTTCTTTTTTTTTATTTTTAAGTGGAAAATGAAAACTAGAATTAAACTGTTGCAATAAAACTCTTTCATCAACTACCATTTCTAAATAAAAAGGTGGTTTTTGATCAAAGATATCCAAAACACCCTCTAACTCAGGAAATTGACAGAAACATTCCAATTCCTGCGGATCACGTACGTTCGTAGTTTTCTTAGTGATGTCTTCATTTATGCGCGCACACACACACACAAGGATGACTAGTCGCAAATAAGAAAGACTAGTCTCTTATTCCCTTTTTGTCATATTCTTCACACACACAAACACGAGGGAAAAAAATACTTACAGATCCCATGCTGGAAACTTAATCACAATAGATAGATCTTCTGAATTTGCTTTATAACTAAGAGGTTCGTTCCTGGAGAGACCTGGGCGTGATTTAGATTACATAAACATCTGTGAATAAACAAATAATCGATACTGCTGGATCATGAATCACACATCTCAGTGAAAGCACAAACTCTCACAGTCTCACAGCTCGATAGATCCACTCATCCAAGGAAGAAGCTTTCAAAATGGTGATGAGGACAAGGGGAGAGTAGCTAGTGATCAGGAATATATATATATATATATATATCTCACAGAACAAATAGGCAATTATATATCTATCTGTTTTCGCTCGCAGTCTTTGTTGTATATGTTGAGATATGCCTCACTAGCTGACGTTAGTTTGTTGCTGATTTTTAGGAATTAATTGCAGTTTGATTGTGTCAAAGTTTTTTCCTATTTTTTAGCCATGTATTTGCTGATTTAGTGGGATGTTATCAGTTAGTCACGTAGCTGCTGATTCTATATAATTTATAATTAATATTTATTAATTTATTAATTTATTTATTTATATTTATTAATATTATTTTATTAATATTAATTTATTATAGAATCTAATCTAAATCTAATAATCTAATAGGGATTTTAGCAGCTACGTGACTAACTGATAACATCCCACTAAATCAGCAAATACATGGCTATTAAATAGGAACAAACTTTGACACAATCAAACTGCAATTAATTCCTAAAAATCAGCAACAAACTAACGTCAGTTAGTGAGGCATATCTCAACACTCCTCCTTGCATCAATAGCTGCACATGCCTAGCTTCATCCTTAGCTCTTCAAACTTGTCTCTGGGTAGAGCTTTAGTAAAAATATCAGCAACTTGATCAGAGGTTCTGCAATAAGTCAGTATGACTTCACCACTCTGTTGTACATCTCTGATAAAGTATAACTTGATGTTAAAATGCTTAGTTTTTCCATGAAAAACTGGATTCTTGGATATTGCAATGGCTGCTTGATTGTCCACATAAATTGGTGTGCTTTCCTGCTGCATAAATTGTAAATCAATCAGCATCTTCCTTAACCAAAGAGCTTGCTTAGCAGCTGCATTTGCTGCTATGAATTCAGCTTCTACAGTTGATTGAGCCACCACTTCCTGCTTCTTCAAACTCCAAGAAAATACCCCAGAACTCAAAGTAAAACAATACCCAGAGGTACTCTTCATATCATCCAAGGACCCTCCCCAATCTGAGTCAGAGCAGCCTTCCAATTTGAACACTTGATTACGTTTATACTGAATACCATAATCAAGAGTTCCTTTGATATGCCTTATGACTCTCTTTGCAGCCTTGTAGTGATTCACTGTAGCACAATGCAAAAATCTTGAAAGAACACTTACAGCATAGAGAATATCAGGTCTTGTTGCAGTCAAATACATGAGACAGCCAACAAGACTTCTGTAAATGCCCTCATCAGCCTTCTCTGTAGCATCATTCTTACTCAGCTTTTCCTTTTGATTCATTGGAGTAGCAATAGCTTTACATCCTTCCATGCCAAATCTGTTCAGCATTTCTTTTGCATACTTTTTCTGAGTAATAAATATTCCCTGCTGATCTTGTTTTATCTCCATGCCCAAGAAATAGGACATAATTCCCAGATCTGTCATCTCAAAGACTTTCTGCATTTCTTGCTTGAATAAATCAACCTGCTCAACATTGCTTCCTGTCACCAAATCATCAACATATAAAGAGACAATCAATAAATTAGCATGTGAGTGTTTGATGTACAAGTTGATTCATTTAAGCTTCTTGTGAATCCAAGGCTCTGCAAATGCTCATCTATTTTGCTATACCAGGCTCTAGGAGCCTACTTCAACCCATACAGGCTTTCTTTAGCAAGTAGACCTTATCCTTTTGCCCTTGAACAACAAAACCTTCTGGTTGCTCTACAAAAATCTCCTCCTCCAAGTAACCATTGAGAAAGGCTGACTTAACATCAAGTTGCCATACTGCCCATCCCTTTTGAGCTGCTATTGCTAGTATTAATCTGATTGTATCTAGGCGCGCAACAGGTGCAAATGTGTCTGTGAAATCCTCTCCATACACTTGTGCATAGCCTTTGACCACCAACCTTGCTTTATACTTGTTGATGGAGCCATCAACATTCAATTTTGTTTTGAACACCCATTTCACACCTATGACTTTCTTATGTTCTGGTCTATCAACCAAAACCCAAGTTTGATTCTTCTCAATCATATTCAGCTCCTCCTTCATAGCATCAATCCACTTTGGATCCTTCACTACTGCATCTACAAAATATTTGGGTTCCACCAAAGACATATTACATCTTTGGTACACATCAGATAAGGATCTTGTACCTCTAACTGGAATGTCATCAATGGCATCATCTAATAGAGAGGCTGTGGATGATGATGATCCATT